AAGTTAAAGGCCAAGGAAACTAAGGTTTGGAAACCACTACCATTCTCCCCTCTCAATAAAAACTAAATGCCAGCCAGTTCCACCCAGTACGTCTCAAAAAGCAACAAAAAATTAACACAAAGTGTGATTCATTAATACAGGAAGCTTAGTTTATGCAAGCATATGGCTAGTGGCACTTACCAAGAAGTAGAACTGATTTGGGGCCAAATACAACTCCCCTTCCAGGCTTCTGATTTATTTTGGAACCTGCCCGCCAAGGAAAAAAAAAAAAAAATCCACAACTAACAGCAGATTATCCAGTCAAGACAATGGTCTCGAGCCTCTAAGCAAAACTGTGCAAGGTCAAAAATTTCATGGCACGCTAATACGTGTGCACAGCTCAACAAGGGTCCTTAAAACCAACCCAGCTACCGACCTTTTCTGCATCCATGCCTGGGCTCTTTAGCACTGAAGGTACAGTTGGTCCAAGCGTTTGATTCATTTACTGCACTACTCATCAATCCGATGGATGCCTCCTCCCTGTGCTTAGATTTTTAAGAATCAGACATGGATACCGCTTTAAGCATTTACTAAAAATACTAGAACTATCACATCTGAGAATTAGAAAACTCAATCTCATTTGACTGATCATCACAATACATATTGCTTATCTTCAGTACTATTTGTGAGGTTTGGACTGAAGATCACATTGAAAATAGGGGTGAATACTAGAAAAGGACACACAAATGAAACGAAATCTTCCACCCTATGAAAGGCAAATGGCAGTGAGTACACACAAAGTTACAAGATTAAGGTGGTAAGAACAATGTGGGAGACCCAACCCCAGTTAGTCTGTTACCTCCTTAACAAAGTAAACAGGTCAGAACTCAAAACCACTTCTGTTCAACACACCACAAACAGGCTTCAACAAGTTTTCAGCATAGATAATACAAAAAAGGCTCAGTGGTAGAATGGAATACCAATATCCTCATGACATCAGAAAGTCTGCTCTGGAGCAATCACAGAATACCACTGCATGGCATAAAGCAGAAACAATTGTGATGTAGCTTGCCCTGCTCTTCCAACAGCTTGAAGTTATCCTGAAGGTTGATGTCACGAAGCTTAAAAACGGTTCTTTAGAAGTACAGGCTTTCATAGACTTGTTGAATGAAGTCCTCCAAAAAACAAAATGACTTTTACTTTCTATGGCACCTAATCAACCTTCAGGAGACTGAAATATCTTTCTTGTTCATACTTCATGAATGTCCAATTTATTTCCATGTATTTCAGCAGCCAGCGATATAGTATGTGACTGTTTGCCACCTCCTCCCAAGTAGCCTTTATTAAATAATCAAGCAGTTTTTAAAACATAGCTTTTAAGCACATTTTTTGATCAGAAAAATATTAATTTTTGTGAATCCTAGAGATTAGATAGATATTAATGTTCCCGCCCATATTTTGAAGTAATTCCACATACTATTTTCCAAAATATATACTTTGTTACTTTTCCATTTAAAAAAAAAAAATACAAGCACTTCATACCAGTCCTATAATTCTGTATTTTGAGCATGAAAACAGTTGGAAAAGTTTAGTTTGCTATACATATATATACCTCTAAATACACAAGATACTGCAATTCCTCAATTTAACACTACTCCTCTTACCTTAAGATGGTTACAAAAAATAGTCCTAGTTGCTGTAACTCTGTAACTTTTTTTTTAACAAATTGGACTATGGTTGCAAGATTGTGGATTACAAAATGCTAAATTCCATTAGTTTTTAAACTGACAAACAGATATTTTAGGATGATATGCTTTTAAAGTCCTGTGGCTTATAGCATTTGCCATCACAACAAAAGACAAAGTTAAAAAGCAACTTTACTTTTTTTTTTTACACTTAAAAACCACCTAAGAAATGTAATACTGAACATATTGAAATGGGAATTTTTTGAACAAACAATATATAGTGTTAACAATACGCATAAGCACTAAGTAGCAATTTTTTTTCCCTTTGTGATACTGCTCCAGCAATTGCTTAGTTCCTTGTAGATTTAGGACAACTAACACTGTATGAAGAGATCTGCAGTCGAAAAATTGTCGCAAACAGTATCTCCCAGAAGTTCTATTTCTTTAAGTAACAGAAATGGGATTCTTCTTGTGCTCATTAAAAAGTTATTGTAAATTTAATCCCAACTTCCATATGATTTACTTTCCTGCAGAAAATCACATATATATGAAGATAACACTGCTATTTCCTAAGCTACCTAACAGAGCAGGTAAGTACTAAATTTCCACAGCCAAAAGGCTGACAGCAAATCTTGCATATATTCTTATGAACGAAAAAAACACCAAACACAAAAAATACCTTTGAAAGTGTTGTTAAAGCACTGTATTGTGGTTTTAAACTCAAGTAATAAAGCACAGCTGCAAGGCATTTTCACGAAAATCATGCCACAATCAAGGGAACCAGCCCTATTACTGTATTATAAAACTAGACTATGACAGAGGGCTCTCCATTTCCCTATGCACCTTTTAACTCTAAAGACAAGTAACTCATATTTGTATTCAAAAAAGACTCAACTCAGGCATATGAAAGTTTATGGGCAACCCCTATCTCACTTTCTGTCTTAAGCAAACTTTCCTATATCTAGGACCTGGGCTTTTCCTTTTTCTTCATGGGAGTAAAGTTCAGTCTTTGAAAATAATGAATACTTGAGATCAGCATGATCTTTAAGTAGCTGCACTAGTCAAATACTTTGACAGTGTTCTTTGTGCATCTTTCCACTCACGCACAGACCTACTCCCTAGGGAATCAAGCTGTCACATCAGTACCACCCATCTTTGGGCTAAGCCTCATTTGCAGAACACAGCCCATAGCACGGTCTAGTGAAAAGCGGTAAGTCCAAGTTCACAGAATCATTTAGGCTGGAAGGAATCTCTTGAGATCATGTAGTCCAACACCTCTGATCAAGCATGGTCAGCCACAGCAGGCTGACCAGGACCGTGTCCGGTTGGGTTTTGAGTATCTCCAGAGATGGTGACTCCTCAGTCTCCCTGGGCAACCTGTTCAAGTGTTACCACCCTCACAGTAAAAAGGTGCTTCCTTGTGTTCAGACGGAATCCCCTGTGTTTTAACTTGTACCCCCTACCTCTTAGTCCCGTCACTGAGAGCTACTGAAAAGAGCCTGGCTCTCCCGTCTTCATTCCCTCCCATCAGGTATTTAGACACAGTGATAAGATCCCCCCAAGCCTTTTCCTCCCCAGGCTGAAGAGCTCCAGCTCTCTGAGCCTCTCATACATGGCCCTGTGCTACACCAGCTCCAGTAAGTTTGTATCTTTCTTGTATTGGGGAGCCCAGAACCAGACACAGCACTCCGGATGCATCCTCATCACTGCTGAGAGTACAGAGGAAGGATCATTTCCCCCAGCCTGCTAGCAAAGCTTTGGCCTTTGCTGCCACATTGCTGGCTCACGGCCAGTTTGTTGTCCACGAGGACCCCAAGGTCTTTCTCAGAAAAGCTGCTTTCTAGCCAGTCAGCTCCCAGGGTGTACTAGTGCCTTGGGTTGTTCCTTGGGGAGCAACACTTTGCATTTCACCTTGTTGAACTTCATGAGAATCCTCTGTCCAGTTCTCTAGCCCGTCAAGGTCCCTTTGAAAGGTGGTACATCATCTGAATTTGCAAACTTTCTGAGGATGCACCCCATCCCATAATCCAGGTCATTAATCAAGATGCTGAATAGTACTGGCCCCAGTATTGAGCCCTAAGGTACACCACTACTGACTTGCCTCCAGCTGGAGTCTGTGCCACGGATTACACCCCGCTGTGCCTGCTCATTTGGTCAGTTTTTAATCCACCTCACTTTCCACTTATCTAACCTGTACTTTGTCAGTCTGTCTACTGAAAAGTCAAGGTGAACAACATAGACTGTTCTCCCATCATCCACAAAGCAGTCACCTCACTGTAGAAAGCAATGAGGTTGATCAAGCACTTACACCTTCGTAAATTTATGCTGACTACTCCTGATCACCTTCTTGTCCTTCATGTAGTTGGAAATGCTTTCCAGGAGGATTTTCTCTACCACTTTTCCAAAGACTGAGGTGAAGCTGACGGGCCTGTAGCTCCCCAAATCTTCCTTCTTGAAGACAGGAGTGATATTTGCTCTTTTCCAGTCTACCAGAACATCTCCCAGGCTCCATCATCATTCAAAGATAATTAAGAGTGGCCTTGCAATGGCATTAGCCAGCTCCCTCACTTAGGGATGCAACCTGTCAGGCTCACCGACTCACAGCTTAAGTGCACCCTAATCTGGTCCTCCACCACTGAGGTTCCAGACTTCTCCTCTGGTCTCAGGGGCCTGGAATTCCTGAAGGCTTGTTTTACTGGTAGAGACTGATGCAAAGTATGCATTGAGTACCTCAGCCTTCTCTATGTCATCTGTCAGCAGTTTCCCTGCCCCATCTGACAGCAGATCCACCATTTGCTGTTCATGTACTTGTAGAATCCCTTCTTGCTGTTCTCCCTGAAGGCTGAGGAACCATCCCATAGCAAATGGCTACTCTTGCTCCTCAAGCTGCATGCCCTTTGCTAGACTCGCAACGCGGTCCTCACACATTCTGGGGCAATAAAGAAAATGCTTTCTTTCCACTGGGAGGTGGTTCAGGAGTTCAGGCTGATTTTCCCAGGCTATGCTTTGTGCAGTGGAAGGCAACAAGGCAAAATGACCTTTCATGTTTTGCTCTTTAAAACATTTATACATTTGTGTATTTTTACCGCTATCTCCAAATTCTGTATAAATGGGTAATGTTACAGATACGATAGAGATATAAGAAAATAACTGGAGGCTCAAGTATTGTATCAGATATATGCACTGACTTTGTAAAAACTGACTACATTTTACATTAGGCAAAATAATTAATAAACTTTTCTGATTATGAAGATGTAAAATAAAATGAGTGGTTTTCCTTGTAAATTTTACTGCAGAAGTCACCTGTATGACTTGTACTTAACCCTTTCCTCCTCATGCAGCATTACAGTATTCCCCACCCACCCATCCCACAAAACAAAAAAAACAAATATTCCACTAGTTGTTACAGATTGCACTTTTAAAGCACAGACTTGCCAGTCTTCTGCATTTCCAGTGTCTTATTTAAAGAGCTGACACACGCAGTCTTCATTTTATGAAACTGGAAGATTTCGCCTAAGTACTTCTTTTGATGCTGGAGAAATGGTATCTGGAAAAATTACTTCAAACTCTATAATTAAGTCTCCACGTTGGTCAGGATTTTTGGGAAACGGCAAACCATATCCTATAATTCTTCTTCTCATGCCAGGCTTTACAACTTCATTTACTGTCATGGGTATGGTTCTTCCTTCTATCGTTGGCACATTGATAGAGCTGCCACATAAAGCCTAAAAAAAGATTGTATCATGAGAAAAAGAAATTGGTCAGAACTTCATTTGTACCTACAACTGAATTTGGATTATTTAGAAAAGACTAACATTCTAAACAGTATTTCCACTGTGCACTATTGAGATGTCAAAATTCAGATACATATTCCTCTCTTAAAAAGGGAAGGCTTCAATTTGTCATTGAATATCACAGAATTTACCAATCTTGGGCAATGGCCACTGGAAGGTAACTGAGCTTGTATATCCTTCAAGGACTTTATCAAATAACAAGGTAGTTGAGCACGGAGTGAACTCTTCACTCATACTTCTCTAGAGATGTCCAGCTTCTCAGTTTCCATTGGAAATTTACTCCTGTTCCATTTTTTCTTTGTTTACATTGCACAGGTGTTTAATACACTACCAACCTATATTATATCAAATTGCAGACCATTAAAGTGTCTACAAGCAGGGGCATATCGAATTTCACAGCCATCTTGGGTGAGCATTTGTGATGCTCAAAGAAAAGCAAACCAGCTATTTTGGTGCACCAAAATTAAAACATCACAGACTTTCTCCTGCTTTATCCAACAGTTTGTTTTCATTAGTAGCATCTCTGATGACAACATTTTGATTCCTCCAACTTCACCTGATTCAGCACACTTAGTCTATACTGATAAAGTCCAATTTATGCAACAATGTAACGAGTCTAAATAGGCCTTTATCTATGAAGGAACTATATTACCCACATCAACATCAAATATTGTCTTTTCTCTCTCCCTCATTTTAGGTGCTTCACCTCAAGTGAGATACACTTTTAGTTAAGAAACCTTTAAGAAGGGAGCTCATAATGTATACAAAAAGGTTGTAAGGCAAGCAAGAGTTTATTTCTCAATCTAATGCTAATTAAGAAAAAAACCACAATACACTCAGCTACATTATCTTATAACTAATGACCACGCTGAGGCATCAGACCCTTCAGAACTCTGCTCATTTGTCTTCCTCATTTTTCCTTTTGAAAGTCAATGTGTTTTGACATGGCAGAATTTTAAAAAGCTATATCATTTTTGTTGTTATATACATCGCTCCTATAACACCTGTTCACAATAATTTATCCTCATGAAATCAATCTCTATGTACTTTGAAATCATACTGAAATAACTTATGACATAAAAAGGCAGACTTAGAACTTGTCGGCAGTGAAAATATTTAAAATATTTCTACTTTGTCCTACAGAAGTAGCAATCATATCACAACAGTAAGGAGTATACTATATTGTATGTATTTTTTTAATTGTATTTGTCTGTTACTTCAGCCCAATATATATTTAGCTAAAAAGGTAAAATACGAAGATATAAGGCACATCAACCTTCACTCTTATCCTCCCATCCTCATTCTCTTCCACCTTTATAGTAAATGGCTTGAAATAATATTCCATTTTTATAAAAACAGTTAATGCTTCCACTATAAACAACTATGCTCTGCACTCACATGTTGACTTTACAAGAGTGAAACTCTATTTAACAAAAAATAAAAAACCCACCACCACCCACAAAAAAATACTGGTGGCCATACAGCTTGGGCAGCATAGTCATTGTATCGTATTGTAACAGGTTTAAACATTTACAATACTACCAAAAGAGAAACTTACCTCCCGTAAGCTGATCTTAACAGGATAGATAATATTTGATCCATCTCTCTTGAAGTGAGAGTGAGGTTTATCTTTAATGATAAAAACAATATCAGCTGGAATTGTGGTGGGCGTTTCATCACCTTCTTTCGGAAAAGTGATTTTGGTGCCTTCTTTCCATCCTCTTTTTATCTCAATAGTAAGAATTTTGTCCTCTGTTCGGACACTCCTACCATCTGGGTTAAGCCTTTTACGTGAAATCCTCATCCTTTTTGTGCAACCATGATAGATCTCTTCCAATGACACTTTAAGTTCATGGATTACAGGGGGATCTTGTTTACGACGTAATTGACTACCAACTGTATTTCTTTCCCTTGGAAAACCATTCATACTAAAACTAGAGAAGGATCCAAATGGATCACCATCCACCTCCATGTCTTCAGTGTCTCTGCCACCAGGCATCCTTCTTCCAAAGAAGATCTCAAAAGGATTTGTGCCACCAAAGAAAGCTGCAAATGTAGCATGTGGGTCGCCATGGAAGGAATACCGGAAGGTACCACCCTGTCCATCAGGTCCTCCAGCTCCTCCTTTCAGACCTAAATAAATCAAGCAAAGTTAAAAACAAATGGAGTATTAGTATAAGCTTTCCTGTTGTAGAGTGTAATGATATCAGAACAGACAAGTCAAAAAGGTCTTTGCAGTAGAGTGAAAAGTCTCCTCTTCAATGAGGATTCATCATCAGGCTAAGCAGTACCAACCAGTAATTCATTATCTTGAACAGCAACAAGTTTCTGAAGCTCTAGAATGACTTCTACTTCAGAAGAACAAGTATTCTGACACTGCCATTTTTTTTTTCATATGACTGAAGCCAGTTATTCAAACAATTATTATCTTAAAACAGAAGACAGGTCTGCTTGGCTTGATCTCTTCTTGTTCTGCAGAGTCTGTTGGGAGTTGCACCTCTTCAGGACCACTTGTTATGCTTTATCATATGCAACATTTTCCATAGTCTCCACAGCTCAGCTTTAACCCTGCGTTAATTAGCTTTACCTCTGTTCTCCTGCAATTCAGGTTGAATAAAAGGTAACATGCCAATAGTCAAGCATCCGCATGTTTCCTTAATGTTCAATTCAGAATGCGAAATTTACCATAGCTTGCTTTCTAGAATATAAAATAGGTAAGAAACCTGGGAACTCTTTTCAATCCAGACACAAATGAAAATAGCTTGGAAGTTCCCAAGACCCATTTGGGTACAAAAATCTTGTATATACTGTCACTGTGCAAAAAATCAGAACATTCTCAAATAGCTTTGATCTTTCTCTTCTACCTTCCACAAAGGGAGATGTACATCTCATTTGCTGCTGATAAGATTTCCTTTACAATTCTCACTGGACATTCCCTTGTACTTCCTGCTCTCTCATTCCAAAACCAGCTAAAATGAATTTTCTTAAATGCCTCTTTCCCAACAGGTGATCTCAAAGTATTTCCTTGTAATAGTGCTGTCCCGCACTGACCATTTCAAGATACCTTCTCAAACCTTTAAGATGAAAGACTATGAGTCTTCTTAAAAAGCTTTTATTTTTGAACTTACAATGTTTGCTTTTTTTTTTTTTTCAATCTTTCAGCAGCTCAGCACTACAGCTGCTATCCTACTTCCATAGCTATAAAAATGTGAAGGCTTACATTAATGAAGCATGCATTCCCTAAATTTGAAAGAGGTTTTTCGTTTTTTTTTGACCCAGTGTTTTAGAACTTTTCTGTATAAGCTTAACACTGGTTATCAACAGTAACCAAGTAAGACACTATAAGAATGCTTTCTCCATCTCAATACCAGACCATACTAAAAGTACACAGCAACATGTAGTACATCCTTCTGTTACAGTACTGTTAATGTCCAAAAAGATCAGTGGATTCAATCTGTGATCGTAGAAGGACACTTCCTGGAAAAGCTAGCCAAAAGTTGTTATTGAAGGTACATCAAGTTCCTGGCTGTAAAAACACCAAAGTTTCCTCCTGCCTCCCACCTCACCTCCTGCCTTTCCCTCACAACTACCAATTACACTCTCAGATGCACCTGAAGAGCTTAGCAACTGAGGCATCAGGAGGCATTTCCATATTCACCATTCTAAAATTCATACTTTGGTTTAATATTACGCCCCATATAAACAGAAATCTATGGTTTGAACCTTGGTCTTCAAGTATGCAATACCAGGATGCCAAAGGCTGCATTGCTTCACATGCTTCAATTCAAGCTCTTTGGTAAAAATGACTAACATGGTATTTGGGGAAAGTAGTTAGGATGAGCTGCTGCACAAAAATCTAAAATGCAAATGAATTCACAGAGTAGATAGGTTTATAATTATATACAGAAAGGAGGCAGGGAGTGAGAAGGAACAAGTGCAAGAAGGCAAAAGACCCAGGAGGCAACAAAGCTCTCTGGTATCTACACAAACACTTTTTTCCTAGAATGTTGCAGTAACAGCACTAAAGCTTTGAATACATGTAATAGAACAAAAGACCAAAAACCCTGCACCCTCTGTAGAAGCTGAAGGTCTTCTACATGAATTTATGGATGTTAACAATTGCATCACGTCCTACAGATGACAGAAGACCAAATTTTATTATGCATTCATAAGAACTCACAATTTTCCCCAAAGTACTGCTATTTAAGTTTCCTCCTTTATATTAGTAAAAAACTTATCCCTGAGCGAATAGCAATGAGTGAGCGGATCTACAGGTCACAGTGGAAGTAATTATTTCATGGGGAATTTCTGATACCATACACCTAAGGGGATGGATGTCAATGACTTCCTCTGTTGCTCAATCATAAGACTGAAAGTCACGCTGGTGAAAAAAAAAAAAGTCATCCTCTCCAGATAACCATTTTAGGAGAAATATGACATTTCTCAGACCTCATTCTCTTGGCGTGTTTTCACTGTTTACAATTAAAGCTAAAAAATTGTGCTGGTATTTCATGACATCAGCCAAATTCTTTCCTCTCCAGGCAAGAAGCCAAAGACAACTACAGACTGGACACCTGGGCTTCTGCTCAGGACTGCCCTGCCTAGACCAAGCAGACTGTCCTTTAGCAAAAATTTAAGAAAAGAATACATCTCTTTAACTGCACCTCAAAAAGTGCTAGGACAAGGGAAGTCAACAGTAGGAGATAGATAGTCATAGAAACTTTTTCAATTAAATAACTTTTTGCCTGTGAAGTATTTGGGATTTTTAAAAAAAACATAAACACACTAAAATAAGAAATGAAAACTAGATCAGCATTAAAATGGCAATATATTCTACATTAAAAAAGCTGATGAGTTGAACTTCCAAGCAGTACACATACATTGCCTAAAAATAAACACACACCACGTTTTCATGCATCATCTATGCTTATTTTGCTTCATTCAACTTAACAAAAAGTGACTGATTGGAGTATAACAGACATACATACCTTCCTCCCCAAACTGATCATAAATGTCTCTCTTTTTGGGATCACTCAGCACTTCATAGGCTTCTGCAACCTCTTTGAATTTCTCCTCTGCGTGGGGAGATTTGTTTTTATCTGGATGCCATTTAAGCGCTTGTTTTCTGTAAGCCTTTTTGATATCCTCTTCAGAAGCCCCTTTTTCAATTCCCAGGATAGAATAGTAATCTTTCCCCATCCCGAATGTTGTAGGAATTCAGATTTTCCTTGCTATAAACAAAGCAGCGTCCAGTGTCTTAGCAACGTAGAGATGCTAGAGAAGAAAAAATAAAAAATAAATTTGGAATTGAAGCAAACAGAACTGTTACAAATCAACAAACTCTCTGATACATTAAAGAAACACTAGACAGCTTCTCCGTATTTCATTCTTCCCCCATTACTCATTTATAAATCATTATAAACAGTGGACAGAACACAGACCTCTTTACAGTCCTCCCATCTACAGTACGTGTCTCTGCTCTTTCTAGAACAACAAATAATACAGGACGTCACTTCCCGACTGCCCCAGCTGAACAGTCAGCACAGCTTTCACTCTCTCTCACATGCACGCATGCGTGCATGCACGCACACACAGAGAAAATGCTGAACTTCTATTTCTTCCCTTCTCAAGCAACTAGAAAGTTTAAAATTTTAATACTGTGATACAGTGCCCTTCCCCACCAGGGCTGAATCCAGTCACCTCTAAAGACATAACTGCCCCAACAGAAATGTAGTAGCCCATATAAAGTAATTAGTGCCTTTTACTTCACAGTTTCTATAGAGACAGCTGTACATATAATTGTTTTCCAAATATATCAACATGGATTTGTACCCTTTCCAGAAAAGACTACGAAGTATTTTACACCCAAGTAAAGTTTCAGAAAGCATAACTTAATTTCTTTAAAAATAAACTTAAGCTACCCTCAACGGGAGTTGACTGCAGCCATGTGCTATTCAGCAGTAACAAATCAAATCTGAGCAAAAAATACCACCCAGTTTACCACAACTCAAGCTGCTCAATTAAAGCAGACCAAAACTGGGTTCCCACCTCCCTTCTACACAAGAGGCAATATCAAGACTATTACACAAGTATGACAATATATCTAACAAACAGCTTTCATCTGATGAGCTACTAATTACAGAAAAATACCTGGTTTATACACATTTGTTCTATAATATGTAGTGCAATTTTTACTTTTGAAGTATTTCTCATACTTTGCAGAAGGAATGGTATGAAGTTTCAGCCTGCGAGATTTCTTTTGGTTCTTAATTAGAGCTATAGGTCAAGAAATTATCCTTACTTGTCAGTATTGTAATAAACTTCAAGATTGATTAGCATAGCTCAAAAAATACTCCTCCCTGGAACAACATATTAAAATATGGCAGTTTTTATACTGTCTAGGAGTTACCTGTATGAAGACATCTCTAGGCTCAGTTACCTGTACGAAGACAATTAGGCTCAACTGCTTTCCTTCTAATGATAAAAAAGTTTAAGCAAAGCAGTATTTAGCACCCAAGCGACCACCAAACTCAAGTGGAGAGCACTAACCCTCCGAGTCAGAGAGCATTATACTTGAAGGTGTTGTCCAGAACCTGCTCTGACTTTAAAGGGAACTGATCAGAAGAGACAGAAAATTTCTCCTTAGCCAGAGACTACTAGGCAAGAGATCTGGGACTTAAAAAAACAAACAAACAAACAAAAACCCAACACAAACACCCTCCTCCCAAAAATAACCAAACAAAATGTGTCATCTCCCTATTCCTCACATCATATCTACTCTCTTCCAATTTCTGCACTACAATTGACCAAATTTCCTTAATGTATCCAGGATTTGCTTAATTATTTCCTTTTTAAATTCCCCTTCGAATAGGGGTAGGAGAGATGAAGACAGAACAGTACGAAGATGAGATTTCACCACAGCATTTAAGAAAGCAAGAACTTTCGCACATCTGTAGTTATTACTTCAAATGTAACAGAGGCCAAAGGGTGTTGAAAGAAGCAATCACCTCCCCTTGCCACCAAGTCTCTCAGGTCTTACATCTTTGGAACACTGTGAGCCGCAAGGTTACAGAATCAATTATCTTTACAGCTGGAGCAGGAAGTTGTTGCTGAACTCCACACAGAATAAAGTTAGTCTTTTACTAATTACCCTTTTCATCTTTCTTTAAAAAGTGCTGCTTTTGTTAATTAACTATTAGTATTTCAGACAAATTCTTGTAGACCCATGTCCTACCTTCAGCATTTTCTCCACAACTGAATTCTGAACACAGTAGGTACAACAGCTTGAATTAAAGCAGGACTTCAGTTATTTCATGCAAAATATACCACCACTCCCTAAGAAGCAACTTCACTTACATAGGTCTTACTGGGCAGTTTTAAAGAAATGGTTGCAAATATCACAAATCACCATCCAAACCGAGCAGTTACGATAACTCTGAACTACAACAGCAAACTAACTTCATCACTATAGACAGAGGAAGATCTAAAGCAGCCGTAAATTGTCTTGCAAAACTAGCAGTACAAGGAGTTATTATGCTCAGTTGTGTTCCCATGGTACGGTTTCAGCCACCTCTGGTAGGGTTATAACTTACAGAATCACAGAATCACAGAATGGTAGGGGTTGGAAGGGACCTCTGTGGGTCATCTAGTCCAACCTTCCTGCCGAAGCAGGGTCACCTAACATCACTTGAAGTACTCCCATCAGTGAGTGTCTGAGAAATACCCCAAGATATTTGTGTCCCTGTTGTCAGAGACTAGAATTGTCAGAACAGCAATAGCTCAGACCAGTTTCAGGACTGTATTTTTCGTTATGTCTTTCAAAACCTCTGGTCACCGGAAGAGGCAGAGGCTACATATGCTAGTTTAAAAAACACAGTGTAACAAATTTTCCCCTTTGAGAATATTGTATCAAACACCTACCTCCCCCTTAAATGTCAAAAGAATACTCAAGGAGCTGCAATTAGAAAGACTCTGTGCTCCCCTCCTCCCGCCCCCCCATTTTTTAAAACATTGTAATTCACTTCCCAGGTTTCATTAAAAGACCCAACAGCTGACTTGTCTTAAATCAAAAGTTTCTTCCCCGCCAATGTCAAAACTTACAGAACAAATTCTGGTAACAACAAAAAAGCCACACTAGGACTTTGTGCTGACAATCACAGTGAGTAAGTGTTCAGGCATCCATTCTCTCCCTACAGTGGGGAACACGTTATTTTGGTGCAAGTGCCATATTATACCCTAATTAGGTAAATTATTCCCTAAAAATGAAATTACTTAAGATTCTGAGCGAGACATACAGCAATGACTTACATTACTTCTACTTCCTGCCCTGCATGAGATCTTCATGTCAGAATGAACTTCCAGTCTGGAATCTCATACCTAAGAATTCACAACTGGAGCACCTCCTTCCAGGAAGGATGTTCCCTTTTTTTTCCATGCTAAGACCCTCCTTTTAGCATATAATCAGAGATCTTTAGGAAATACAAGTAGGCTGCAGTTCCTCTCAGATACTTATTGAGTTCTTTAAACAATTTCTAATAGATTTAGAAATATGAGTCTCAGAATTAGTGAATATTTTTTCTTTTTAATCAAAAGACTAGCAGGCACAAGAGTCCTTGCATTTCAGTCACCCCTTACTTCAGAGACTGACAGCTTGTGTCCAAGTACCACGAGGCACCTGTACTGTACGCACATCTGCTCACACACAGTCCTAATTGCAGCATACTGGGGTTTGCGCTCACCCTCTGATTTGACTTTTACTGAAAGGAGGGGTGGTTGTTGTGATTTGGTTTGTTTAGGGAGCATTAACAGCACACGACCTGATAGAGCACATGTAGCCAAGACTGGCCTCAGCTGTGACAAGCCAGCAGTAGTGCATCCTGCAACTTTCTCAAGCCTTCCAGAAGCAAGCCACTAAACTACATACCTGTAAGATTAGTAAATCCACAATCTAGGACTTTGATTAAAAGTGCTCCTGAGTGAGTGCTAAGCAACTTCTCAAACATTTAAGCAAAACATACATGCACTTGGCTGTGACGCCACCTCAAAAACATTATAGATAAAAACCCCACCATCAATTATCTACCTTTCTTCCTCATTCTACCACATCAACATTTCTCTGACTGATATACCACATTACAAATCAATGAACCATCTCTTTGTTTAGGCAGCCTTCAAATATAACAACTGCATTTCAGGCATACAGAGAAAAAAAGTTTTTATCATCACTATAGTATCCAACGGTATCTATGAAGCTTTTGCTTATAGTCAACTCTGTAAAACAATTTTCTGCCAAACTATGCTCCATATTCACAATACTACACGAAAAAGAAAAGTTAATTGCAAAATTCAGACATTGGCAGAACCTCCCCTTCCTCTCAAATACCTCATTCAGGGGGTAGGGGCAGACATAAATAGCAGAATATTTCAGATGCCTGTGTAGTACATGAAATTTCACATATTACAGAGGCATCTGAAATACAAGACTTTTATCATGGAAGAATCCCAGCTGTTTGAACACATTACTCCAATTCAGTCCACTTCACATCCACAAACTTTCAGGGGGCCTGTCACTTTGTAGAAGCCAGTGAAAACAAACATGCTTCCGCAGGAAGTTTTTTAGCATTCATATGTATGTTGCTTCTTCACACAGCCTCTATCCAAATAATTTCAACCTTTATTGCAAGTACGTGTAGAGATCAGATACTAGCATCTTGTGAGTCTGACTGTACTAGCACTGAGCGATAAAACAGTGGAGATGTTCTAAGACACATAACCATATCCACAATCCATTTAAGTCAGCTTCCGATTCTGTGTGTACCATGCTAAAGAACTAAAATGTCAAGCAGAGCAAAGATTTGATCCAGCTGTTTATCTACAAGACATACCTAATAAAGACCACATCTCTGGGACAATGTATCACCCCAAATATTATGTTTAATTTTCAAATAAATTCTGTATATTTTTCTGGTATTTTCTGAATTGTGCTGGAATACAGATCTTCTTTTAGTGTGATATTCCTTAAGACTTGCTATCTGCCAACCAAGTATTTAAAACCAGTAGGTCTCAGACATGTTGTCCTATTCTTATAAGCTACATTAGGGTACTCTTATTATGCACTGAGAAAGTTAGCAGCCTGTATTTGTTCAGCATTTCCTTACATCAGTGTTGTTTGTTACAGTCCAAATTAAAAAACAAATACCTAAAATGGAAATCTCAGGTCAAGCTTTTTAAAGCTGACTGGGGAAAAAAATTCCCATGTGTCTTCAACTGTATGACATTACTAAAAAGCCGAATACACAATTTATGAAAATATTTTATTCATTCTCAGGAAGACCAAATAAAATTTTGAAACCATACAGAACTTGCCTAATATAAGCCCACTCTCATCTACAGGAGACTCTTTGATCAAAAACAAGAAAGCAACATTCACTTCTGTAATATAAGACTTAATTTTTTAATCTAAAAATGTTTATGAATTATACACTAGGAAACTGAAAATTGTTCCTTCAACAGTTCATCTTCAATTCCAAGACTAAGTCTGACTACTCATATTCAGCATTTCACCTGAGTTAGTATTTCAGTAAAATAATTACTGCTTTTAAATATCTTCCCCATTACTCTCTCTGAACAACCACAGTTTAACTCACATACCTATCAACAAGTGCTACATATCATAATTTCAGCAAAACAGTGGGAGCAAGCTCATACCACTTCCAGGTCTTAGAACAGTTGCATTGATAATATTAACTTTGACTTAATTGCTTTCTGTAAAGAAGCCTTCGTTAGAACAACTGAAATAAATTAAGATACAGCCAAGGAAATATTCACAGTAACAGACACACTGCACTCAAATTCTAGATTAATCATAAATTAGCACCAGTATAAGGTTATTTTAAGGAAAAGCTTCTAAACAGAACTGTCATTATTCCCTGAAGTATCTGAAGTTGAATAAAAATGCTCATTATTTCCTCTGAATGAAGCCATTTCTTCTGCATTCCTCACCTATCAAAGCTCAGAAACAAAACTGAAAGACAGGACTAGATCACACAACAAGTTAAAGAGCAAACAAAACCACAAAGGCAAATTCCAGACAGATCACAACTATAAATACACATGTGCACGTAAATGTCAAGGCAGAGTAGCCAAATCCCTCCCCAGAAAAAGCTGTTTCACAATTAAGTATCATAGTATTCACAAACCCACATTAATGAACAGAATAAATTGACATTTGTGTACAATGGTTTGAAG